TTCAGGTTCATGTGGCTTCAGCTGTCAACGGCCAAGCAGCGGTAGCGCAGGCCGCTCAATCGCTCGCTCGCACCCGTGCTCAATCGGCTACAAAGCCACCCTTGACCGTCCTAGACCTAGATGAGATTATGCATGGTATGTGCTCTTCGCTACGTCCCTATTGTCATCTAGTAGCCTTACTGACAATAAGTCTCGTTCCAGCCGACCTCGCGCCTCCTCAGTTGTTGATTATGCACGAATTGGATCGTCCTTCGCCATTCACTCTCATCAAGCCTTTGCAAGGTGTCGATATGTTCCCTCCCTGGCAGCTCCGGCTCACAGAAGTCAAGTGAGTCATGCAGCTCTATATTGCTTTCACCTGGCTTCTGACTCGCGTTCTCTAGTTGGACTGCACCTCCTTCGCTCTCTTTCACTGCCGCTGTCTCTCAACTCTTAGGTTTCTCGACTCTCCCCAAGCATGTCCTGTTGGAGCAAAGTTCTTTTGAGAAGGCTTTGAATGATTACGCTAGCTGTGTGGAAAACGTGGGCAAGTGAGGGGACCCGCTAGCAACTGTGACAGTAGCCATCACAAGAGAGAGTACTGCATGACCGCCTCTCGTGTTCACGTTTCTTTTTTGGTTAGAAGTAAGACAGTCTGTACAACGCAGTAGCCGGTTGACCCTTTGAAGCCTTTTTGCCAATTCATTCTTGCTTGATTTGTGGAGGTGTGTAGGATTGGGAGGATGGTGGGTCAGTCACAAGGAACGAGCGATTGGTCACAAATTCGCCATGCCCTTGAGTGACGCACAAAGATATGACGGCGTCTGGTCTCGACTCTGATCTCACATCCTCTCTCGTCGCTCCGACAGAGGGTTCCCTAAATTCCCTGAAATAAGTAGAGGGTGCCACCACACCCACTGAAACCATGTCAACTTCGCAACCCGTCAAAGAAATGCTGCTCGCCCTTGTGAGCAGCTTGCTTCACGAACACCCATTCCACAAATATTTGATTGGATTTTTCAGCTAATTGCTTTCCCTTTTTTAGAACTGCGGCTCGTCCTCCATCAAGTTCAAGCTCTTTGCTCTATCAGACTTGACCGTGCTTATATCTGGATCGGCGTCCCAGGTGGACTCGAAGGGCCAGAAACCCATCATCAAGCTCACTGTCCACCACCCGGGGAGTAACGGCCCAGATGAGACCGAATCGGAAGAAGAGCAAGAAGGGATGGAATGTGAGTATTGCATCCAGCCGCTATTTTCCGTCCCGACTAGGATGCTCATTGACTGCTCTATTGCTAAATTTCACATCAACATGCCAACTCCGATTCTCCCCGTCCACATGTATATGCTATACTATAGACGATGCGGTATTCCAGCGAACTATAGAGCTCATCGAGTTTTCCACTTCACACCATTTCCAGCCTGAATCCGGAGATCGGACCCGGGCGCGCGACGTCATCAAGCTCGTTGCTCATCGTGTTGTTCATGGCGGCAGCGAAACCGAGCCCATGGCGATATGGCCGGGCCATGAAGAGGGCCTAGAAAAGCTTGATCAATTGAGCGAGTTTGCACCCCTCCATGTACGTAGTCCAAAGAATCCTGCCCCGCTGTTCGTTGAGGCTCGACTCACCCTATTCGCGATATAGAACCATCGTGCCGTGCAAGTGGTCAAATGTCAGTATTGGCAGCTTATTTCGATCGACTTTGGCAATTCATCTGCACACCTTTCTTGTCCTGCATAGCCTGCCTCGAGCATCTGCCGTCATCCAAACAGATTCTTCTCTTTGACACACTTTTCCACCAATCGCTCCCAGAACATATCTACACTTACCCTCTCAAGGCGCCTGCTTCTCCACCGCCTATTCCCTTGCGCAAATACGGAGCTCATGGCCTCTCTTATGCCTCAGTCGTTTCTTCTCTGTCAAAACACCTACAGAAGCCTGCTTCACAGCTGAATCTGGTCATTGCACACCTTGGATCTGGGGCCTCCGTCTGCGCCGTTCGTGACGGAAAAAGCTATGATACGAGCATGGGGTTAACGCCTCTGGATGGGTTACCAGGAGGGTCGAGGAGTGGGAGTGTGGACCCAGTGTTGGTGTTCCACCACACGCCAAGTGCCAGCGAGAGCGTAGACTTCAAGGGTGTGCATCTGAGTCGTGGAGAGATGCTACTTAACAAGTAAGTAGATGATGTGATGCCATTAACCCTCCATGAGCTGATCATCGCTGGCCTTGTGATGTAGGGAAGCTGGGCTTTCTGCTCTAGCTGGAACGTCAGATTTCCGCACCATTGCATTGCGTGCTTTGTCATCATCCTCGGACACTGGGACAGATGAAGAGCGCAAAGCGGCAAAACTGACATACAATCTATTCACTGATCGGATCGTGAACTACGTTTCGGCATATGTGGTCAAACTTCTCGGCGCTCCTGGGTCATCTGCAAGCCAGCTTGATGGCATTGTTTTCTCAGGAGGAATTGGAGAAAAGAGCGTTGAATTACGGAGGGATGTCCTTGCATACTTCCACTGGATCGGCGTGGAGGTTGACGAGTCAGCAAATAAGAGTGCTGGGAAAGACGACACAAAGGTCGTTTTTGAGATAACAAAAGCGACGTCCAAGGTGAAAGCTTTTATGTGCTTGACAGTAAGTCCAATCTCTACCATTGCATAAATCGACGTTGATATACCCATTATCTGTGCAGGATGAGGAGACTCAATGTGCTCAAATGGCGAAGGATGCTGTTGCGAGTTCCTAATCCTAGAATTTACACATTACGCCGTAGAATAACCTCCGTTGTATCTAAAAAGTTTTATGATTGACTGCATCCAGTGCATGTCTATGTCTCTCAGAGTAAAGAGCAAAAATATTCAGAACAGCGTCAAGAGTCCGTTGGCTGAGCTACACATTTCTCCCACTCCCTCTCCGCCTCGTCATTTCCATTAGCACCCGTCACATAATCCAATGTGTCAATGAAGGCTTCCAACTCGCACATCGTCCCGTTCGAGCTCGCTAGAGTGTTTGCCTCGTTGCAGGTTGACTTCATGACCCGATCATTGCTCACGAACCGAACATATTGCTTCCAAGCCCGCTTACTCCGCGATGAGATGGATGTAGGAGAACCCGATGGGCACGAGTACTTCTCCACAGCTAACCGCCCCGCAAATGGAACAACCTCGCTTGCCTTGAAATTCGTTCGGGTCGAGTTATTGTAGAGACCCAGCGCCGCATAGATCGGCACTACCTGGTTGTCATGCGAAAAGTCGACGTAGATCTTTCGATCAAGCGGGAAAGTGTCTGGGGAGGCGTCGAGGGGGCGATTGATGTTGGTGGTATTGCGCACAGGTTGCGACGTTAGTCGTGCTATGAGCTCAGAGACGTATCCGACACCTGAGTAGACAGATGGACGCGCGGAAGCAAGGTTGAGTTAGCCATCTATTCACGCATACTAACGACGAGAAAGGAAGACGGACCCTGTACGGGGCCTAGAGGATTCCCAGGCCTTTGGGAGCCACTGCATAAGAATTATTGGTAATTAAGGGGACAATAACAGACTTACCCAGTGAGGTAAAACTTTCCCACATCCTGATATGTCTCCAGGTCCTTCCACGTTGAGGTGTCAAAAAGGAGACAGAATGGGCTCAGGCCTTCCCGTAGTAGCGAGTCGAAGGCACATAAGAAGTAAAGATTGACAACGTCAGTGTCATCTAGGTCACTTCCCGGCGCCTCTGCGTTGAGAGCCGCTGTGATGGTAGGGGCAAAAGTGGCGAGGAACTGAGCCTGACGTGCGTCAGATATGGATTCGTCTCTATTGGGACAATTCTTGTCATCCAGGGTGTTATTGACCTACAGGTAAGAGGAACTGTCAACGCGAGCTGTTTGAAGGAAGCTGAATGAACTCGGTTTACTGTTCGGCTCTCTGGAATTAACACGGGGGAATATATATTTGTGCTGAAGTTCCCTGCAGCAGCGAACCCCAACGTCCAGTTAGTTGCGGTGTCAACAACTCTTTGTGATAGCGAAACACGAAGAAAAGGCGTCGAGGAGAAAGTTGCTCCGGTCCCAAGGAGTGCTCCATAACGCTCGAAAGCTATTTGACCCGCAATATATCCTCTATGAGAGCGAAGAGAAAATTTGTTAACATGCAGTGACGGCGTAACCTAAAAGAGGGGAGCATACTCTTTCGCCCCGTACGGAAGTAAATCGCCCGCATTGAACTGCCATTCATACGATTCAACAAAGCGAAGCCGTGGGGAAAGCGAAGAGGCAGATAGCAGTTTCTCTAGTGTCGACGCCATCCTAGCACCAGCGCCAAGAGTAGGGTGGCGTGCACCGTGTCGATACAGCTGGGGAAGATATGGATGAGTTCCAATACGACGCAATCAAGCCGACAATCGAGCCGAACTGATGATACATACCAGATTGACCTGTTCTATTTTACACTCGCTAGGCCCCGGATAATATGGTTCCACAGGATAAAATGGAGAACTGGGCAGGAGTGGGTTAAACCAGTGTGTAGCAGCTGGAGCAGCAATGATGCTAACTATTGCCCTAGGTTATGCCCAATAAGTGGCGGAAGAAACCCTCCAAGGTTATGATAGCTTGTAAGAGGGGTTTGAGACCCAGGCGCAAGAATGAAGCGAGTGGCAACACTGGCCACGAGTCCCCATATTGAGGAGAAGACAAAGTCCATAGTTCGTAAAACCCTCAGAGACCAAGTAATAGCCAAATGGTATAGTGTGGGGATTAGGCGTGTGGTTTGAAGGATAGGGAACACAGGTCCATTGCTCGGTGGCTTTATTACATTGGGCGTGGGTTGTAATAAACTGGAACAAACGTTCGTCATCTTCGGGCATACCCACGTTGCCCGATTTTCAGATCTGTCACCGGCGTCTCACCTCTCGACCAACATCGATGGATATAATATCCGCATCGCAAGGGACTAGGTATTTTATGACATTAGGCGTGGGTTGCTAAGCAAGGATAAGTTAATAGATCGTCAAAATGGAGGACACTAATAACCGCGCCTGGCTAGCTCAATCGGTAGAGCGTGAGACTCTTACGCAAGAGAATTACGTAATCCATCTCAAGGTTGTGGGTTCGACCCCCACGTTAGGCTAATGGAAGCATTATTTTTTTTTGCCTTTTTGCGAGCGGTGATGCGTTTTCAGTGAGCAGGAAAGTGGGAGGGTGGTTTTCAGGTATTTTGAACAAATGTGCGATTTTTTAGTACTGTGGACCGAATATCATACTTTTTATCTGACGATCTTGTAGATCGGTCGTCTAGCTTTCCAATGAGCCCAAGATTTGGCCAAACTCTTTGACGCTGAGGGAGAAATCCCAGAGGTACTGTTTGTCGTGCCTCATGACCGTGGGAACCCAACGTTCCAATCGCCGCCCTAGCCACTGGTGGTAATACTCAGCATCTGAGCACCTGTACTTGCTGGTTAACCCAAAAGGACTTTTTTAATGCTTTAAGGGAGAATTGCGTCAGTCATCTGATGGATGCTTTGTGAAGACCACCCGTGCACATCTAGTAACATCAAGTGTCACGGGCACGACTACAAGGTAAAACTATACATTCCTGATCATTTATTCCTGCGCAGGAGATATTCAGGATGTTGTGGCACTGATGATGCTAGCTGTGTGGCGGCGTCAGTGCATTTGGTGCTCAGAGCCACTTACTCGCCGCCGCGCCGCTCACTGCTGTTCGACCCCCACGTTAGGCTCATGGAGAGGTTTCCATTTTTCCCTACCCTTCTCTCAGCTTTTCCTTTATGTGGTCTATTCTAGTCGGGAATGCGTGCAATTATGTGATTATGGTGTGCAGGGGAGACATACAGATGTAGCAAGGAATATGCGTAGGGCTGGGTCACAGCGCAGACTGAGGTAGTTCAAGCATATAAAGCTAACATGTCAGATTTTCAAGCCCTCCATTGCAACTGTGAGAGGGTCCTTGAGCAAGACAGGGCTATCCTCTAAATAGAAAAGCAGAGTCAGAGTGCAACAGCTTATTAGAGGAAGCGAACAACTCACCCCATACAGGATACAGAGCAGTCATGCCGCTGAGGAACTCGAGGAGTACCTCGATAGAGTTACAATATTCAGTCGACAGCTTGGCATTTTCCCGAACTTCGAGTCGCCGTAATTCCTGTGCGTACACTCGAACGGCATTCATCATATGAACCTGGTACCATGTCGATTCCATCAATTGATGATGCAGTGGCTGAAGAGGATAAAAGACTCACCATAGGCACAAGGGATGAATGTACGTCGTATGAGTGGCGGTGTACATGAAGCTGTTTGCAAATGCACACTAGCTTTTCGGCACTTCGGAGCATTTCAAGCTTAGCTTCAACATCTTCCTTCGCAAACATCCGATGGAATATGAGAGAGGTTCCATATAGAGTTGCGTGGGAGAGGAGTGTGTGTGGGTTCGAATCGCTAATTGCATCAGATAATGATGGAAGTCTAGAGTCATGGAAGCGGATAAAGGCTTTCACCAGTCGAGAATATTCTGTATGTATGCTGCGATTCTTTTCTGAGGAAATGGAACAGGTGTTACATTCATGACATATACAGCCCGATGGTATACATACCTCGGTGTATTGTGAGCACCATGTTAAAGAGAACAGTTGTCGAGAGATTCAGATGCGCGTCTGATTGCCAGATTTTCGTTACCTCCTCTTCATCTGCCATTGGCATCTGGGGCGAATAGTTTGTCAGCATTATTCGCCAAGAGATCATTGGAATACTGGAAAAAAGAACCTTGAACCACGGATACTGGATCCCAGGACGATCAAACGATGGTATCAAGTCCTCTTCGCAGATTAGAGCTGGTGGGACCCCGGCTATTGCGCTTGAGGACTGATCAACCAAGACGACGGAGTGGGCGAGCCAAATCACATTCAATGCTGCGTCATTAGTGGCTGGTGCCGGTAGCAAATATCTGCTGTAATTATGGACAGTTTCGGCACGAGGGGTGGCGAGCATACCACAAGCCGTCGCCAATGGGCCAACGGCTGCCATCAGGAGCAAGCTTTCCTCGAGTCGCCGCGCTCTTGCAAAATGTGAAACCAGTAAGGTACTACCCCAAAAGTATTGAGTGAAATGCTCTCGATCAGCCAACATGAGGATCTGGTCAAGGAAGTAGCGTGCACGCTGGACGAAATAGCCTTCAAGAGCAGCCCAGCGCCCTCCAAGGATGCTACATGCTACAGCGTGGCATGCATTTCGCAGACAAGGATGGATAGAAGCTGGGTCTGATAGAGGGAGGGAAAAACAAGTGAGGAAATGCGGGAGTGGGAAGAAGAACTGGAAGTGTGAGCGGTGGGGCAGGAATAGTGCGATCCTGCGAGGTGACGTATGAATATCATTGAGTGAGTATGAATCGATGGGACATACAGGTACAGTGACATTGAAGGCGGTAATTCTTCGCCTTCTGTCCATCGAAATGAATCTAGAGTGTGCTCGGCCACTCCTCTATCAACCATTAGAGTTTCTCCCTCTTTAGGGGAGACTGTTGATATGCTTCCTCCGAGTTGCCGCCTGGAAGCGAGCACATCAAGCTTGCTGTCCTCACAGCATATGAAGATCGGAAGCTGGGCCGGTTCGGGGGTCGAGCGCTTTTGTGGAATCCCAAGATATTTGATTCTCGCCTGAAGTCGAGCAGCTATCACCGACAGATTGTATTGTGAGGACAGAGCATGCTTGTTGACAGTGAGCTCTGATTGCAGGGCCCGAGCTTGGATGAATCCTGCCACTGGTTGAGGCCTTCTGGGGAGCGGTGGAACGTAATGGCATCGTTTACTAAGGCGTTGACACCGACCGCAGGTAGGTCTAGACCCGTTGCACTTCTGGATGAATGCATTGAGACAGACTGGGCGAGGGAGTGAATCGGTGCAATAACGTACCACTTTGAGTTTGCGGCATTCAAGACAAGCGCTACCTCGAGGAAGACATGTATCGCTAGTGCTCAGGTTCATACATGGCATGACTGTTCAGAATCGACGTTGCCGCCGTTGCCAGGCCAACGCATTGAATGTCAGCGAAGCCCTGTTTTAGCATCCTCTTCCGTGGTAGCAGTAAGATTGTGGCTTGGCTTATAGCGCGTTAGTAGATCACGCCTTATGGGGAATAGATCCAGCTGTTGGGCCAGCTTTGCGAGGGAACACCCTCGGGGGTAATACTACGATATCCTTAGCCGCCGCTATACATCCCAGTCACAGAAAGTGTTCCATAATAACAGTGAGCAAAAAAGACGATGTACGAAGCACGCTATGTTGCTCAGTAATGCATCTAGTTGTGCAATCATGAAGTATTGGAAACATATACAGGTATTATAAGGAATAAACGCAGGGCTGGTACTACAGCATTAATGAAGGCGGCCAACAGACATCGATATAACTATCAAATACTCAAACATTCCATAGTGACTGTGAGAGAGTCTTTAAGCAACATAGGACTATCCTCTACAGAGAAGCGGTGTTGGTTTACCGCAGCTTATGAGAGAGAGGGAAAAACTCACCCCACACGGGATACAAAGCAGTCATTCCGCTCAGGAACTCAAGGAGTATCTCGATAGAGTTGCAATATTCAGTCGATAGCTTGGCATTTTCCCGAACTTCGAGCCGTCGTAATTCTTGTGCATATACACGAGCAGCATTCATCATATGAACCTGGCGCCGCATCGACCCCCGACATGATTAACGCAACGCTTATAGGGATGACTGGGACTCACCATAGGAACAAGAGATGAATGCACGTTGTACGAGTGGCGGTGAGCGTGAAGTTGTTTGCAAATATCCACCAGCTTCCGAGCACATCGAAGCACTTCGACTCTTGCCTCCACGCTATCCTTTGCAAATAACCCATGGAATATTAGGGAAGTCCCATATAGAGTGGAATGAGAGAGGAGTGTGTGTGGGTTGGAATCGCTGATTGCATTAGACAATGACGGAAGTCTTGAGTCGTGAAAGCGAATAAAGGCTTTCACGAGTCGAGAATCCTCTTTATCTATGCTGAGATTGTACCCTAAGAAAAGGGAGCAGATGTTATGATTGAAACGCCCAAACTATGGTAAAATTCAGACCTTTGTGTAATGTAAGTACCATGTTAAAGAGCACCGTTGTGGAGAGGTTAAGATGCGTGTCTGATTGCCAAATTCTTCTTAAATCTTCTTCATGCACCATTGACTTCTAATGTGGACGTTTTGTCGGCATCGGCATCAGTCACCAAACGATCATTAGCGGGCGGAAAATAGAACCTTGTACCAAGGATACTCGATCCCAGGACATTCGAATGATGGTATCATGATCTTATCACAAATAAGAGCTGGTGGAACCCCGGCTATTGCGCTTGATGACTGATCGACCAAAAAGAGGGAGTGCGCCAGCCAAATCACATTCAACGCTTCATCTTTAGTTGCTGGTGTCGGTAATAAATATCTGCCGTAGTCGTGGACAGTCTCGGCTTTAGGAGTGGTAAACATACCACAAGCCTTAGCCAGTGGACTGACGGCAGCCATCAAGACCAAGCTTTCCTCGAGTCGCCTCCCTCTGGCGAAGTACGAAACGAGCAATGTGCTTGCCCAGAGGTAATGAATGAAGTGGTCTTGATCAGCCAGCATGAGAATTTGGTCAAGGAAATAGCGCGTGCGCTGAACAAAATAGCCTTCGAGAGAGGCCCAACGCCCTCCAAGGATACTGCATGCTATAGCGTGGCATGCATTTCGCAGACAAGGATGGATAGATGCTGGCTCTGACAGGGGGAAGGAAAGGCAATCGAGAAAATAGGGAACTGGGAAGAAGAACTGGAAGTGTGTGCGATGAGGCAGGAACAGTGCGACTCTGTATTGTATCCCAAGTATAAATATCAGTTGAGCGATTATGGAACGATTGGACATACAGGTACAGGGACATTGGGAGCGGTAATTCTTCACCCTTGGCCCACTGAAACGAATCTAGAGTGTGCTCGGCCACTCCTCTATCGACCGTCCAGGTTTCTGCTCTTTGAGGGGAGACTTTTGGTATGCTTCCGCCAAACAACTGCGCCGAAACGATTGAATCAACTTTGCTGTCCTCACAACATATGAAAATCGGTAGCTGGGCTGGGTCGGGA